TCAATATCCTCTCCCACCTTTTCTTACCCAGAAATAGCAGGGCAAAAACATTTCGTGAGAATTACTGACTGTGGCTAAAAGAACCCTTAGATAAGTCACTACACCACAACTCCCCTGTTGAGAATTTGCATTTGCACCCCAGACATGCTGAATCAGAATCTACGTTTTAACTAGATCCCCAGGGGTCAGAATCACCAGTGGAATATGATGACCGTACCACTCCATCAGCTCGCTAGAAGGGCCTAAATGAGTCCATGCATGTAAGGGGAGCATGGTGGCTTTGTAGGATAAGTACTAGACTGCAAACCACTAGATCAGCGGTTCCCAGCCCACCAGCCACTCTGTGGAAAAAGGTACGACTTTCTGCTCCCGCAAAAGATTGACAAGCTCGGACACCAACTAGAGTTCTGTGAGTTAGAACTGACCCCATGGCACCTACCCCCACTACCACCACCATACATGTAAAGCCAGGCTCAGAGTAAATAGTAAACACTAGTTGGAAGTGGTGGTAGATTATGTTTTATTTCTGAGTAGAGGATGGATCACCAGACAGTAGTTAATGACTTGATTAAAACTGCAATCCAGAAAGATCTCTGACACCTGTGAAGAGGTTGACTCAAGAGGCTGGTTGTAGTAATCCTGGGACAGTCCAGGTAGCTAGGAGCAGAGCCTGGGGAGAAAACACATTTGATATTACACAGGTAGAGTCAACAGGACTTTGTGAGTAATTTGGGTGTGTGTGTGTGTGTATACTGTCACTGCACATATTTGTGTGTGCATGTATGAGTGTGTTATGTGTGTATGTGTGTGAGTATACTTTATTTGTGTGGATATATGTTGAGCGTAATGTGTTTGCGAGTGTGAAATTTCGGAGGTCACCAGGGTTTCTGGTACAAGTACCTGCAGGCGGGGAGTTGGGAGGAAGATGAAGTCCAGCTACAGATCACGGAGTGTAGTGACTCTGTAGGATAGACACTGCACAGCAAACTATAGGTCGGTAGTTCAAGCACAACAGCTGCTCCAAGAGAGAACCATGAGGCATTCTGCTCCCGCAAAGATTTACAGTCTCAGAAACCTTATGCAGAGTCACTGTGAGTTGGGTACAGACTCAAGGGCACTTATCATCATCAATAATAACATAGGAAAGGATGCTGGTCTGAGAAAGAAAGATGAATTCCCTTTGGATCTGTTGAGTTGGAAGTGCCTGCAGGACACTCAGGTGAGGAGGTTCGGGAGGCATTTGGATACTTGGTCCAAAAATTCATGAAACAGGTGTGAGCTGGAGACACCTCTGGGTTTCCTTAGCATCTCATGAGAGTGAAAGCATTGGTCATGGGTGGTGCTGACCACCACCACCCAGAATTGGTAGCTTCCCTCACCACACTGGATTCTGCAGAACTCTGAGAGCTGGGGTGGAATCATATTGTCACATCAGCTTTCAGAGTTAGACTTATGCTTGGGACATGTTTTTTCTTCTGGTAATATCTTGTGATTTTCTCATTTGAGAAATTACATCACTCCTCTCTGAAGGTAATGTCTACTTCCCAGAATTCACCATGCCTTAATGTTAAGAAGTTCATGGAGTTTATTAGCCTTCCCATATACTTCTTGATATCTGCCCAAACTTGCCCTCTTATTCTACTTCAGGGAGCCCCGATCTTTTCTGGTATTTGATGACAATACATGTGTATCCTATTATGCTATTTTCTCCCCAGTTGGTATGCCGAATCCTAGTCTTGAGCCTGTCTTCAGTGAGTGTTCTCCAGGGCAGAGCCAGGTAGACTGAGGACAGTCAAGCAGACTTTGGTCTGCCTTCACTAGTCAGCTTTTCACAGGGATTTGTTTCCTTGTCTGTCTTCAATGGTTAGTCAGTCATCTTTTTCAGGGGGTATGTTTCCTCTTGCACAAAGGACAGTTGCGTGCCTCCTCCCCTCCAATCCCTGCTAAAAGAGCATCCGGATCTCATTGGAGATTATAGGAATCTACCTAGAGTAGTGCAAGGAAACCTATGAGGTGGGGTTATGGAGAGTGTGGACAGCTGCTGCTCTTATGTTGCTGTTGTGTTAGTTGCTGTCCAAGCCATCCCCAGTCCATGGTGCTCCCATGCCCAGTGGGACAAAGTGCTTCTCAGTCCTGTGCCATCTACACTGTTAAGTGCCATTGTGTCAGTTCCAACTCACAGCAATCTTGTATGTATAGGGTTTCCAAAGGGCAACTGGTGGGTTTGAACTGCTGACCTCGTGGTTCACAATCCTGTGCTGATCCTACAGTGCCCCAGCAGGAGTCCATGCCGTCTCTATAGTGGGTTGCACTTCAGACCATTGTGATACATTGGGTTCTCACTGGCTGGTTACCAGAATCTTATCACCAGCTTTGCTTCCTAGTCCAACTTAGTCTGGAAGCTCTGCAGAAGCCTGTTGAGAATCATAGCAGCACACAAGCCTCCACCGTGTGGAGTGAACATTGTTAGCATCAAGCCCAGCTCTCCCACGTGGAAGACAAGAATATTACCGCTGAGCCAGCACTGCCTCGCGCTGTTAGAAGGATCCAGAAAGACCTAGGGAATCTAAGTAGTGGCTGTGGAGGGGCTAGGAACCAGACACAGCTCTGAACCCTGGTTTTCTCTCTTCTTTTTCCCTTTTCTCGGTCTTTCCTCTCTCTCTCTCTCTCTCTCTCATGTTCACAGAGCTGATGTCTCTGTCTTGCTCTCTTGCTAGGTCCCCCTATCAAGTGTCTGTCTTCCCCTTTCCTTCCTACTTTCAGCTCTTACCTGGTTCTCTTCCCACTCCCACCACACAACACTGTTAAATGGCTTCTTCTGAACTTGTCAGTTGACCCAGGACTGCCCAGACACCAACACTGAGTGGCCTTTTTGTCCTAAAGGCCACCACCACCTGGCAGTGATCAGACTTCTTGTGTACAGACTCCATTCCCAAAGAGGATCTAATGGGTTCGGCGCATCCTCACAGGCTGCTGGCCAATCTAACAGGCCTCTCTCCCCAGCCTCCCTTATGTCAGACACACACCCTGGGCTGGTCCGCCATGGCAGAAGTGAGGGGATGTATGACAGAATCCTCCTTCCTGCTTCTCAGGGACTGTGAGAGAGGTTAGAGTTTCTGGGGGGTGGGGTGGGGGGAGTAAGGGGGCATGGCTTACTAATGAATATTTTTTCATATATATGTTGTTGTCAAGTGTCATCAAGTCAGTAAGTCAGTTCTGACCCATAGCAACCCTGTATAGGGTTTCCAAGGAGTGGCTGGTGAGCTTAAACTGCTGGCCTTGCAGTCCAAACCAACTTTGCTGTCCAGCATATTAACCCAGGGCACCATACCTGGACTCAATATATATATGATCCTAAATTTAGCTCAGACAACAACCAGAATGCACCGTAGAAGCCAGGATGGTGAGACTTTGCCTCTCATACTTCGGACTTGTCGTAGGAGGGGAATACTTGGTAAAGTGGAAGATCATCAAAAAAGAGGCAGACCACAAGTACATGGATTGACACAGTGGCAGCAGTAATAGGCTCAAGCATAGCAATTGTGAGGATGACACAAGACAGGCATTGTTTGCTTCTGATGTGAAACTATGAGTTGGAACCAACTCAATGGCACCTGAAAACAGCAGGAAGTAGAAGTTTTTAAACTGTGCAGTCACCTCTACACTAATTCAGTGGCACACTTCTCTGAAATGATGACTTTTGCATCCTCCAGCTGCATGAAAGATGGCATGAAATTAAACTCTCAGTCCAGGTGTTCATTTTATTCAAACATCAGGATGCAGAGATGATTCGCTTGAATCTGAACAGTCATCTGATGGAGTACACGGATGGTGTGTTTTTTTCCAAGCATGAAGACTTTCTCTGTATTTGAAATAACCATTTTCCTGTCCACCAAACTTGGGGCATTATATAGCATTCTCCACTAAGGCAATTAATTCCCAGGCCCCCCAACTTTCTGAACAGTTGGCCCATCACAGTTAGCATAGAAGTATCCACATCCCATGGAAGCCCTGCTTGTCTCCTCTTTTCCTTCTGAGCCCCCTCTTCTTTCTCCACACTATGTGACTGGCGATCTGTATCCCTGTGGTCTGAAGTCACAAAACCAGCTACGATTCAATTTGCCTAAAGTGACTGAAAACAGGCTGCAAATGAGAAAACCATGCCGCACTTTTAAACAACTAGGAAACATTACGGAATTTGAATCTTCTAAGTATTAAAACACACACACATTCCAGTTTTGCAGCTTAGTCACTAAGAGATGTAATGTGAAGTGCTTCTGAGGGAAGAGAAAGTGAGTTTGTTGATGACCCACAGGTGGATTTGATATAGAAAATGTGCCTTGAAATCCAGGACCGGCAAATACAGAAAAGGGGCTTTGATTTGGTTTTTAATGAAAGTATAATTACTCTTGATGGCTTCAGTGCTAATCAAATTTTCTGCTTATTCTTTTCTCCCTTTTCTCTACCTCCGTAGTGTCATTATCTCTGCGGCTGCCAAGCTAATCAATATACATTGTAGGAAACTCTCATCTCCCCATGATCTGAATTAGGTGGGATCCAGTTCTGACAAAATGAGTTAATCATCACTGGAAACATTGGCAAGATCTGGGGCTGTTTGTATTCCTTGGGGACTGTTTAGCGTCTCCGAGAAAATAGCTTCATCCAACTACTGCGTTCACTGGGCTTTCCTTTCCCAAAGTTCCTCTCCCATAAAGAGGATGGGCCAAAGCACCTTGTTGACTCCCTGGTAATTACAAAGTGAGAATGATCCTTCAAAATAAGTGGCTATAAGCTGCCACAGGTATTCAGTACCATGTTGCTATATAATGTATTTCTTCTTGGAAATGTGTAGACCGACAATTTCACTGTTTCTACCCTCACAATCTAACCAGATTATTTTAATAAGAATTTCCAGAGTTGGATTGCTGGCCATAAGGAGACAGCAAGTTGTTACATGAATGATAGGAAAAGAGACATGCCTCTCCTTCTTATTTCTTTAGAATAAGAAGAACTACTTGGACATTATTCACACATACATGGAAGTACATGCAACTGTCTATGGTTCCAGCACCAAGAATATTCCCAGTTACGTGAAGAACCATGGTATTCTCAGTGGCCGGGACCTGCAGTTTCTTCTCCGAGAAACCAAGGTAAGCTTCTAGTCATTTTATAAAAACTTACCCATGGTCTCATTTACAGGTTTGTTTCCATTTGATGTCTGGATGAGGGTCAGAATCGCTCTAGCTTCCTTTTCAATGCTTCAGTGCCTCTTTAGGTCCTCTCTGGCAGTTTTGTTTTAGAACAGCTGTAGCGTAGAAGTTAGTGAATTTTGGAAAGAGATACCTATTGCTTTGCTCATTTGCTGGATCAAAAAAATTAACTGAGTAGTTACTCTGTGCCAGGGATCAAGCAGGGATCTGGGAATCCCTAAACAGGAAAGATAAGGCCTTACCCTTTTGATAGAGCGGCAGCCTCCACAGTTAAGCTAGGGCTATTTAACTTAGCCTCGACACCTCTTTTCAAAGACTCAGCCCCCAAATCAGCTTTTCCTCACACTTCTTCATCCAACAAGTATGTATTGGACATGGCATAGCATATTTCACAAAGATACTCTTCTGCATCCTACTTGGTTAATAACAACCGATGTTTTAAAAGCTCATGAGTTGGAATAAATGTAAAACTAAAGTTCTCCCATGTAAAATATCATATAATTCACAATAAAACATAAAGAAAAAAAAAAAAGCTCATGAGTGACCATCTAAGGTGTTATTATTGGTTTCTCCATCTGAAATAAAGAAGAATGAAGAAAATCAAAGATACACGGAAACAATTCATCTAGTGGACTAAACACCCACACAGACTTCAGTTTTTATGACTCTAAGATCAGAAGAACTAGATGGTGTGTAGCTACCATGAACAGCTGCTCTGCAAGGGATCCCATTAGAAGGTTCTGGATAGAGTAGAACAAACTCAAATCATAAAAAGGTCAGGCTTACTCGTCTAATAGAGACCATTGGGACTCCTAAGAGTATGGCCTAAATCACCCTTCTGGAAGTGAATTCACCCCCATGGCCAAACGATATACAGGTCGTAGTGGTTACGAGTTGGACTGCTAACCTCAAGCTCATCAGTTCAAAACTGCCAGCCACTCTGTGAAAGAAAGATGAAGCTTTCTGCTCCTATAAAAACTTACAACATTGGAAACCCTATACAAGGTCACTGTGAATCGGAACCGACTCCAAGGCACACCACCATCTATCCATACAAGGGAAAAAAATAACATTAGGGAGGTACACACTCATTAGAATAATGAACCATTTTGAGAACAAAGGATAGCATTTACCCAAGGACCAAGTTCAGAAGGGTTAGGAAAAAAGGAGGAAGAGAAACAGTAAACAGAGAGAGGAAATGGGATAAGTGACGTTTCATTGTGGGGTTTGTTTGCAGTGGATGATGTGGAACAAAATGTGTATGAATTTTTTTAATGGAAAACTGATTTGCTCTGTAAACGTTCATAAACCTTCCTCCATTCACAATCATTCCATCAGTCATCGATGGGAACACTGTATGTATTGACAGACAATAACTTCAGATGAGGAAATAACTCACTGCAGGCACGGGACACCGGGAAGATCGTGAGTGGTGTAGTAAATGAAGAGTGATGGCTGACAGAGTGAGAGTTAGGTGACAGAGCAGAGCAGGGAGTGACTGTTCCAGAGAAAACTAGAAACCAAGCCAATATTGTTGGCTGTTGTTGTTGTTGTTAGGTACCATCGAGTCAGTACCAACTCATAACAACCCTATGCACAACAGAAGGAAACAGTACCCTGTCCTGGGCCAACCTCACAATTGTTGCCATGCGTGAATACATTGATGCTCCCACTTTGCCAACCCATCATGTTGAGGGTGTTCCTCTTTTTCTCTGACCATCCACCTTACCAAACATGATATCCCTTCCCCAGTGACTGGTCCCTCCTGACAATATGTCCAAAGTCTTAGAGACAAAGTCTGGCCATCCTGGCCTCCAAGGGGACTCTGGCTGCACTTCTTCCAACACATATCTCTTCATTCTTTGACAGCCCATGATACTTTCAACATTCTTCTCCAACACCATAACTCAAAAGCATCAATTTTTATATGGTCTTCCTTATTCATTGTCCAACTTTTGCATACTTACGAGGTTATTAAAAATACCATGGCTTGAGTCAGGCACACCTTAGTCCTCAAGCTGACATCTTTGCTCTTCAGCACTTTAAAAAGGTCTTGTGCAGCAGAGTTGCCTAATGCAATACGTCATTTAAATTTCTTGATTGCTGCTTCCATGAATATTGATGGTTGATCCAAGAAGAAGTCCTTGTCAACTTCAATCTTTTCTCCGTTGATAAGAATGTTGTTTATTGGTCCACTAGTGAGAATTTTTGTATTCTTTACATTGAGATGCAATCCATACCAAAGGCTGTGTGCTGTTTGATCTTCATCAGTATTTTAAGTCGTTTTCAGTTTCAGTAAGCAAGGTAGCATCACAGATCTACATATCACATGTTGTTAATAAGTCTTACACCTATCCTGATGCCACATTTTTCTTCATATAACACAGCTTCTAAGATTATTTGCTCAGCATACAGGTTGAATAAGTATGGTGAAAGAATACAACCTTGTTGCACACCTTTCTTAATTTTAAACTGCATTCAGTGTTTCCATGTTATGTTCAAACAACTACGTCTTGGTCCGTGTACATGTTCTTCATGAGCACAATTAAGTGTTCCAGAATACTCATACTTTGCAATGTTGTCCATAGCATCTCATGATCCACACAATCGAAAGTCTGTGTGTAGTCAATAAAGCACAGGTAAACATCTTTTCTGGTATTCTCTGCTTTCAGCCAAGATCCATCTGACGTCAGCAATGATATCCCACATGCCACATCCTCTTCTGAATCTGGCTTGAACCTCTGGAAGTTCTCTGTCCATGTATGCTTGTAGCCGTTTCTGTATTACCTTTAGTAAAACTTTACTCACTTGGGGTATCAAAGATATTGTGCGATGATTTCCACATTCTGTTGGGTCACCTCTCTTTGGAATGGGCACAAATACGGATCTCTTCCAATCAGTCGGCCAGATAGTTGTCTTCCAAATTTCTTGGAAGTGGTGAGTGAGTGCCTCCTGTGCCGCCTCACTTTCTTAAAAGATTTCCATTTGTATTCCATCAATTACTAGTATCTTGTTCTTTGCCAATTTCTTCAATGCTCCTTGGACTTCTTCCTCCAATATCATTGGCTGTTGATCATGTACTACCTCTTGAAATGGTTGAACATCGACCATTTTTTCCTTTTGGTATGGTGACTCTGTGTATTCCTTCCATCTTCTTTTGATGCTTTCTGCATCATTCAGTAATTTGTCCATAGAATCCTTCAATAGCAAAAGCTGAGGCTTGATTTTATTCTTCAGTTCCCTCAGCTTAAGAAATGCTGAGCGTGTTCTCCCCTTTTGGTTTTCTAGCTACAGGTCTTTGCAAATTTCGTTGTAATATTTGACTTTGTCTTGTTAAGCTGACCTTTGACATTTTCTGTTCAGCTCTTGTACCTCCTAATCTTGTACAAAATTTCTTCCATTTGCTTTAGCATCTCTATGCTGGAGAGCATGTTTCAGAATCTCTTCTGACATGCATTTTGATCTCTTCCTTCTTTTCTTGTCTTTGCTTTCATCCTGTATGATGTTCTTGATGTCATCCTACAACTCTTCTGGTCTTGGTCTTTAGTGTTTAATGTATCAAATTTGTTTTTCAGATGATCTCTATGTTCAGGTGGGATATATTCAAGGTCATATTTTGGCTCTCGTGGACTTGTTTTCATTTACTTCAGCTTCAGTCTGAATTTGCATATGAGCAATTGATGGTCTATTCCACAATCTGCCTCTGGCCTTGTTTTGGCTGATGATATGGAGCTTTTCCACCCTCTCTTTCCACAGATGTAGTCAATTTGATTTCTTTGTATTCCATCTGGTGAGGTCCATGTGCATAATGGTCTCTTATGCTGTCTAAAGAAGGCATTTGAAATGAACAGATCATTGATTTTGCAGCATTCTGTCATGTGATCGCCCACATCATTTCTGTCACCAAGCCATATTTTCCAACTACTGATCCTTCTTCTTTGTTTCCAACCTTTGCATTCTAATCGCCATTGATTATCAATATATCTTAATTGCATGTTTGATCAATTTCAGATTAAAGAAGTTGGTAGAATTCTTCTATTTCATCTTCACTGGCTTTAGTGGTTAGTGCGTAAATTTGAGTAATAGTGGTATTAACTGGTCTTCCTTATAGGCGCATGGATATTATCCTATCACAGAAAGCATTGTACCTCAAGACAGATTATGATATGTTCTTTTTGACGCTGAATGCAATGCCATTTCTCTTCATTTGTCATTCCTGGCATAGTAAACTATGTGATTATAAGATTCAAAATGGCCAATGCCCATCCATTTCAGCTCATTAGTGCCTAGGATATCGATGTTTATGCCTTCCTTTCATTTTTGACATTTCCAATTTTCCTAGATTCATACTTCTTACATCCCATGTTCCAATTATTAATGGATGTTTACAGCTGTTTCTCTTCATTTTGAATTGTGCCCCATCAGCAAATGAAGGTTCCAAGAGCTTTTCTCCATTTGCATCATCATCACGATCAACTCTACTCTGAGGAGGAAGCTCTTCCCCAGTCACATTTTGAGTGCCTTCCAACCTGAGGGGCTCATTTTCCGGCACTATATCTTTTTTTTTTTTTTAAGTTTTATTGTGAATTATATGATCGTTTACATGGGAGAACTTTACTTTTATATTCATTCCATCTTATATCATCTCACTGCCATGGTTCCAATCCCCTCCATGCATCATCAACCACCCAAAGGGTATATCCCAGAAACCTGCCCCCTACACTTCCCCCTCCTCCCCCCAGTTTTTGGCCCACAGTCCCTTTCCCTCTCTGGGTCCAAGGTCCCCAGTCGCTTCATCACTCCACGTCATCATCTCTGTCTCTGTCTCAGGCATCTCTGTTTCTCTGGGTAGGGTCCCGCTCTTGGCTCTTCTCCGTTGATGGTCCCAGAGGCCTCCGCTCCTATCCTGGAGAATTAATCACTCCCTTCCTTGTTACTCC